CGCATCCTAGTGAAAAAGGATGACATCTGACATCTGACTGAAAATGAAGTCCCATTCAAAGGTGTAATTTATTGACTATACTCCTCGACACAACTGTTCAAGAGTTATACGTCGTCAGTTAATTGCTGCAGGTATATGCAAATACAAGTGTTTTTATAATCACATAATAAAATTCCATTACGAATATCCTCCATAGGTTGCATATATTTTTTTGCGCAAGTATTTATATTTCCGTGTGTTCATGCATTACGTACTCATAATACATATTATAATTCTGAGGAACATCCGTACAGTAATTATCACTGGTCGGTTATGAAGCAAGATGTAACTGATATTTATTTGCATCTTATATAAAGTGAAATCGTCTAATTAGTGGTCGGCATATCACGAGGCTTCTAGGGAATAATCGCGTTATCCACATTTATTATCAACGACCAATTACCAACACCTCGCGCGAGATCTGGTTCGCTCGCCAATCGAAGGATCCCCACGGTGAGTGACATTCCCTAATGAATGCAATTAGTTACTTGAACCAGTTGACCGTTCAAAGATACACAGCTCGGGTTCTGCGGACGCAATTTCGCAGCAGCTTCCATTGAGACATCGGAAATCTTAATTGCAAGCCGTGCGGGTAACCCGAGCGAAGGGTGCACCCGTGTGGTAGGGTGTGCGTCGAAAGAGTTGGGAGATCTTCTTCATCGACGGGGCAAAGACGTTCGGGGCAAAAGGCTCGTAAATCGTGGCAGGCCAATGAGACGTGGCGAGGGTACCGTCTCGAGCGCACGATTGGCGGCACTGGCCAAAGCATCCGGTTCCAACCGGCTTGTCCAATCCCGGCGTGGTGCCCTCCAACCGATTACCTACGCAGGCCTCGCTCCGATCGCTCATGCTAATTTCATAACAACTACCCTTGCGCCAATGGGCGAGCCAGCCTTAGAAAAGAGCGAAAACGAACAGCCGTTGCCCGCGAGGGACCGACAAATAAAAGAATCGAGACCCCAAACGAGCTGGTCCACCTCCATCCTGGTCAACAGGATACGAAGCTATATCGTTCGGCACATTCGGCTGCTTACTGAGAAGTACAGGATTATTCTACGGATAACCTAGAAGGAAATTTAAGGAATTACGGTTAGGTTAGGTTAGGAGACTTTGATAAGGAAATAAGGATATGGAGATGTAAGACACCCCAGGTTCTAACATTCTAAATTCTGAATGTCCTCTACTTGATGATTGTCATCTTTAATTTCTAATATTTTTAAATTATCAAATTCCTGAATCGTTTAATCCCTCCACTTCCATGATCCCCAATTTCCCACTTGATTTCCAAATTTTTAAATCTCTGAACTGCAAGTGAAGGTCCACATACCTGAAAGTTAGGTACCTGAAAGTTAGGTACATTAGTCTGAAGAGACCCCACCTCTATGAGATCTTCTCAGATCGCAATTTTCCCCACAAAAGCCTAGCATGCTCCCGTACAGCCGACACGTAAAACGGAGGACGATGGCGATGATGGCGGAGGCGACGTTGTTAGCGGGATACGGAAGGTTTAGGGTACGCGTGTTGTCATCGCGGCTGGAAGTCGTGACCGCTTAAAATTAACTCGCGTACCAAGGATTTATCGAAGCGACCATAGCGCGACGCGGCACACCGTCACGCGAGGTTATATCAGAGAGAAACGTTAGTTACTTGTGCGGACATGCACGCTCGAGCTGGCGTGTTCGAGCGATCGTGCAGGTTGGTTATAGAATGACCCTTCGGCCCGTGTCACATTTGGGCGACAGAGGTCACACGGATGCGTTCGGTAAGAAATCTGGAGATTCGCGAACGAGGCGAAAAGAACGGAGGACAAAAATGGACGACTTCCGGGCAGGAGTGGGCGACCCGGTGAAATTAGCTAGAGAGCCGGGCTGGAGGTATTATCGACGGTTGGCCAGGAGGGAGAGGAGGCGGTGCCAGGCAATAATATTTCGCGTTCCGCAATTTTTTGCCCGGCCAAGAGTTCCATTCGGGGCTCATCGACGACTCGTGACGCGCCACTGGCTCTCCCGGTTCCGCCGTGGGTATTAATTCCGGGAGGGAAAGAGAGCCACGAACGGAAACAGAAGAAGGAACGACGAGACCGAACCGTGGTGAGGCACAGGACGAGGGAACGGGGAGAACAAAACGATGCAGAAGACCATCTATGAGATGAGAAAATAATAATAAAGTGGAAATGAGCGAGCCGGTCCATAAATTGCTCCGCTCCTTGTTAATGGTCTGGGGGCCCGAGGCGACCTCAGCTAAACGTGGCCCGGTCTGACCCGACTCTGTCCCCCTCCTGCCCCCTTCTTTCTCTCTATCCCTTTCATTCTTGTTCCCTCTTATTTTCTCTCGGTTAGCTCTTTCCTACGATGCTCGGGATCCGACCGGAGGATCTGGTCCGACCCGTTCGAGGCGATCTTGGAAGGCTCATTTCTGTATTTAATGGACGTCCAGAGATGGCCACCGAGGTCCCTGGGCTCCCGAGAGCCAGAAAGAGGGACTTAAAAGGGTCCGGAGGACACAAAGGATCCAAGTCGATACCCGGTACTGCCTGTGATTGGCGACCGGGCGTGGCTCGACCGACGGATATCCTGCTTCTCTTTAAACACCGCTGCATTCGAGGACATGTTTATATTTTACCTTTTTCGAACGTATGGTTCGGGGGTTATTATTTAGCGAACCGTTTTACTTTTCTACACTTTTTCTTTCGCATTTTATCCGCTGTTTAGCTCAGTCTCGCTATATGGCTCACGTTTGGTACGAACGGGAAAATTTTCGATTTTCAACATTTTTAAGCTTTGGAATTTACTGACTCTAAAACCTTCAAATTTTTCAATTGGAAAGTTTAGAAAGTTTCGTTAGGAACTTAGGAAAAGTTTCAGAATTGTAACTTTGAGAGGTACAAACTTTAAAAATTAGAAATTAAGAGACAGAATCTTAGACTATACTTGAATTATAGAATACTTTTAATACCTAGAAATATTTTAATCTTAGAATTTGATTTAGTCTTGCCCCATTAAGGGCCATATAGCGAGACTCTACAATAATTGTAAGGTTATGATTAGTAAGGTATGACGACCTATAATTATTGAAACACTCAAAAAGAATGCGAAAGTCTATAACTTTCAAATTTGTAGAATTTCTATATGAAAAATGTTATATAATCAACCTAGTTAATTAAAGTTATATAAACATATAATTTATTAATATTTTCATGTGCCTGTTACACGTTCGATTATGTAATAGTTAGCAATTTGATCTGCAGAGAGCCACGAACGGAAACAGAAGAAGGAACGACGAGACCGAACCGTGGTGAGGCACAGGACGAGGGAACGGGGAGAACAAAACGATGCAGAAGACCATCTATGAGATGAGAAAATAATAATAAAGTGGAAATGAGCGAGCCGGTCCATAAATTGCTCCGCTCCTTGTTAATGGTCTGGGGGCCCGAGGCGACCTCAGCTAAACGTGGCCCGGTCTGACCCGACTCTGTCCCCCTCCTGCCCCCTTCTTTCTCTCTATCCCTTTCATTCTTGTTCCCTCTTATTTTCTCTCGGTTAGCTCTTTCCTACGATGCTCGGGATCCGACCGGAGGATCTGGTCCGACCCGTTCGAGGCGATCTTGGAAGGCTCATTTCTGTATTTAATGGACGTCCAGAGATGGCCACCGAGGTCCCTGGGCTCCCGAGAGCCAGAAAGAGGGACTTAAAAGGGTCCGGAGGACACAAAGGATCCAAGTCGATACCCGGTACTGCCTGTGATTGGCGACCGGGCGTGGCTCGACCGACGGATATCCTGCTTCTCTTTAAACACCGCTGCATTCGAGGACATGTTTATATTTTACCTTTTTCGAACGTATGGTTCGGGGGTTATTATTTAGCGAACCGTTTTACTTTTCTACACTTTTTCTTTCGCATTTTATCCGCTGTTTAGCTCAGTCTCGCTATATGGCTCACGTTTGGTACGAACGGGAAAATTTTCGATTTTCAACATTTTTAAGCTTTGGAATTTACTGACTCTAAAACCTTCAAATTTTTCAATTGGAAAGTTTAGAAAGTTTCGTTAGGAACTTAGGAAAAGTTTCAGAATTGTAACTTTGAGAGGTACAAACTTTAAAAATTAGAAATTAAGAGACAGAATCTTAGACTATACTTGAATTATAGAATACTTTTAATACCTAGAAATATTTTAATCTTAGAATTTGATTTAGTCTTGCCCCATTAAGGGCCATATAGCGAGACTCTACAATAATTGTAAGGTTATGATTAGTAAGGTATGACGACCTATAATTATTGAAACACTCAAAAAGAATGCGAAAGTCTATAACTTTCAAATTTGTAGAATTTCTATATGAAAAATGTTATATAATCAACCTAGTTAATTAAAGTTATATAAACATATAATTTATTAATATTTTCATGTGCCTGTTACACGTTCGATTATGTAATAGTTAGCAATTTGATCTGCAGAGGGCAGAAGCTATCGGAAAGTCGTCTAGTGCCCTCTTGTAGTGCATAGTAAAAACAAGACACGTATTTATATTGCCGTTTGCTACTTAGTAAGATTTCTACGTTATCTGTAAATGGTGCAAAAGAAAACTTTCAGCAATTACTCATTATTAGTATAGTTTCTAATTCGATTCATATTAAAGTCAATTAAGTTAGTAAAATCAACTATATTTATTAAATTAATCCGGGAACGGTACACGTGGCACCTTCTGGTGACCACTCGTAGGAACTAATGAAACTACAGTTTCAAAGACGTGTAGTTCACCCTGTTCGCTGGAGAGATGGCGCTATTATTTATATTTTCCTAAAAATTCAATTAATATTGATTTTATTGGCTTAATTAACTAATATGCATCAAATTACATCAAAGCACAAGACTAATAAAGACTAAATGATGTTTCTGGTGATCTTAGTATTTTAAGTCATGACAGGAACAGTAAATAGCAAGAGTTCAACACCTTGTTTGTGCTCTTAGTAAAAAATAGAAAATATATTTCAGAAAAATATGTAAGGGTTATATTACATTTGCATACTTTTTTACAAGATTCCTATAAAAATCAAATATACGTTGACTAGCTTGTCTACACTTGTCTATGGTTTCAAAAAATTCTGCTTCTGTAAACTGACCAACTGTGTGACAGCATATAACATCCTTCTTCATGCTATCAAATGCGTAGGTAAATTCTGCTCTGGCATCCTAAACAAAAAATATGATACATGTATTAGTACATTCACATTTCTCAAAATAAAATATGGTAGCAATTTTCTAAATACTGGTATCAGTGTTCCAGAATCAGTAGGTATACAGATTTACAAACCTCTAATTGGGTGTTATCAGGATCCAATATAATATTATCAGTACTTTCTTCTATCATACAGCTGACTGCCGCAATAGTGAATTTCATTGGAATTGCAGCATTAATAAGAGCCAAACAGGCTGCATTAATTATGCAAGCTAACAACTGAAGAACATCCATAAACATTAGTATAAAATTTGTAATGTTTCAAAACTATATAGGGAACCATACCCCTCCAGAATCCTCTAACTCTTGTATATTGATACATATAGCCGTTGCTGGATGAAAGGTCACAATTATTGCAGTTTCACAAGTTTCCTTTATATACATTTCTGTCATTCTGTCATCCACCTCTTAAAAGTCAACCAAATTAGACTATACAGTTACACAATCATTTCTAAAGCAAGTATCCAAATATACTTCAACTTACTAGCAGGTCCTTTAATAGGAGTGTATGATACTTCAACGAAAGCCTTATCATAAATCATTTTCTGTGGCTTTGCTTCTACAGGTCCATACACTCCAGCGATGACTGCAGTATCACCTAAAATATAAATTATCATACATAAAATTATCTATCCAACATTATTCCAATGACACTATAAAAAGAGTATCTACCTTGCATTAACATAGCTGATCCATCAGGCATAGAAAGCTGATTCATCTCACAATTTATTGGTCTTAATACAAACTCATTTTCTTTTGCCTTCTCAGCCATGTTTTTTTTAATTTTAATTTAAAACACTAAAAAAAAATAATTTTGGCGGGAAACACGTTTCTTAGAGGTTAGGAAATTATAAACAATGAAGTATCATGAATTAAAACATTCAGAAAACTTTTACTTTAGGTTACTATCTGACTTTTTAATAAATCAGGTTTTCAGATATCAATCTCACAATACCTTGTTATAAATACATTTTGTTTTCACAAGTAAAATTTTATTTGGTAAACTCTGCACAACTTTAAACCATGGTGTAAGAAATAAGATGAGGTTGTCATGCGATGTAAATTTTTGGCTAAGGTAAGGGAGTTCACTGTTTGGTTTTTGTCGCATACGACATTATCGGCTGACTAGAATAATATACCAGCGCTGTTGAAATGATAACTTGATCGTTGGTCGGTAAATATATTACTTGGGAAAATTTATAAAATTTTGTGGTAATTTTATTTGTAGTTAGTAGGTGGTGATGCTTGCATATTTTTTATCGATTGGGTGGGAAAGATTTCAATTTGGATTTGGGAATTTGGGAATGTGGAAATTTGGAAATTGAGGAATTTGGGAATTTGGGAATTTGGGAATTTGGGAATTTAGGAATTTGGGAATTTGGGAATTTGGGAATTTGGGAATTTGGGAATTTGGGAATTTGGGAATTTGGGAATTTGGGAATTTGGATATCTAGAGATTTGGAAATTTAGAAATTTGGAAATTTGGAAATTTGGAAATTTGGAAATTTGGATATCTAGAGATTTGGAAATTTAGAAATTTGGAAATTTGGAAATTTGGAAATTTGGAAATGTAGAAATTTAGAAATTTGGAAATTTGGAAATTTGGAAATTTAAAAATTTGAAAATTTGGAAATTTAGAGATTTGGAAATTTGGAAATTTAGAAATCTAAAAATTAAAAAATTTGAAACCATAGAAATTTCAATTGCTTTATAAACAATTTTCTCTTGACACAATAGTTACCAAAACGGAAATAAGAATGCATAATAGTATCATCAGAAGTTACGATGTTTTTATTTGAACATTTTGATATCTACAAAGAACGATAAAATACTATTTTCATAAAAATATATCAGTGCCTCTCGCTCCGACAAACGTTAGTTCTTATTTGTACAGAAATCTTGCATCGAAATATATCGCAAAGCGCTGTAAACCATAACACAATATCGAACGCGCAGGAATAAACGTAGATTTCTTCGCATTTCATCCATGATTTACACGAATGGAAGACACATCGTAAAAACGAATCGCCTGTAAGGAATTAAAATACGAAACCTAGTTCTCTTTTTATTATCGTACATATAATTAAGAAATTGATTGTACATCGTTTACAGTCGTTAACACAGTAAAGCGTTTATTTTCAGGTAAGTTGGCGTTCGATTATTTGAAGAATCGTTTTAACGATATATTAAAGAACAAATGCAAATTCAAAACATTCTTCAAATGATCAATGAATGATTTTCATAAAACTTTTGTATTTTAAATTTTGTAAGTACAAGACGCTTCAAAATATAAAAATATAGAACAACAAATTTTTAGGGGACTAAATACAAAGTTTAGAAAAAAAATGCATCTACATTTTCAATACAGAATTTTCTAAACATCTAATTCGAATATAGAACTTTATCAGTAACTTTGCTGATTATGAACAACAAAATAATCTAATCACACTCGAATCGAGTACTTACATAAATTGCGTTTTTTAAAATCAATATCCAATTCCTTTCCGATTATTTTTTAACCCTTCAGCTGCGACAATGTCAGAAAAGTAGACAAAATAAAATATAAAATGTTACATGTCGCAACATGCAATATCAATTTAATAAAACAATACGTATTGCGTATACATGTTGCTCGTATACAGGATGTCTCAAAATGGCGGTGCAGTTTTAACCTCCTCACTGCAAAAGTTATTTGTCCTAATTACACAGATGAAACATAAAAAACATAGGCAGAGTTGTAAAATTACAGGTAACAAAATTTCAATAAGTAAATTTTCTACGTAAAATAGTCCATGTGTTACAACACACCATATGTGTCCATATGTGACACACATACATGTCACACCTATCAAAGCCAACTTTTTCAAGACTTCACATATTTATCCCTCGCAGCCAAAGGGTTTCAGCGTACATTATTTCGAACCAGCAAAATAGAGGATGATTCTGATTCTATATGACCGATGAAACGCACACACGCGATAAAAAATACCGTATATATATATATATATGTATATATGTATGGCGAAAATAAGTTCGCCTCACGAACCTATGTATAAAAGTAGTTTCAACATTTAATTGGCATTCAGTGATTTTTTTTTAAAGGACGATCTACGCAAGTCCCGTGATAGTTGTTAGGAATACTGTGACTAGCCAAGCGACTTTTACAGCGACGCGATATAAAAATTAGAGACTTCTGATAGAATCTGTCCATGGAACAATTTTTATACGTCAGACGATCGGTATCTGACCACCTGACCGAGGTATTACAAAAGAACAGGAATCGATTACGTTGGTATTTAACGTTCTAGTATCGTGTTCCAGTACGCCAACGGTCGGATATTTCGTGTGAAACGCGATTTGGGTGAAAAATGTTTAGAGCTATTTGTTGATTAAGATTTAGGTTTGCGGTTTGGGTTTGGGTTCTTGGGTTTTTGAGTTTTTGGGATTTGGGTTTTTTGGGATTTGGGTTTTTGGGATTTGGGTTTTTGGGATTTGGGTTTTTGGGATTTGGGTTTTTGGGTTATTGGGTTATTGGGTTTTTGGTTTTTCGGGTTATTGGGTTATTGGGTTTTTGGTTTTTCGGGTTTTTCGGGTTTTTGGGTTTTTGGGATTTCAGGTTTTCGGGTTCTTGGGTTTTCAGGTTTTCGAGTTCTTGGGTTTTCAGATTTTTGGGTTTTTGGGTTTTCGGGTTCTTGGGATTTCGGGTTTTCGGATTCTTGAGTTCTTGGGTTTTTGGGTTCTTGGGTTCTTGGGTTTTTGGGTTTTCGGATTTTTGGAGTTTTGAATTTTTGGGATTTTGGGATTTGGGTTTTCAGGATTAGGGTTTGTAAGATTTTAATTTTCGGGATTTGGGATTTTATTATTTGGAATTAGGAAATTTGGGTTTTTGGGATTTACAATTTAGGGATTTGGAGATTTGATATTATGGAAATTTGGAAGTTTAGAAATATAGAAATTTGAGAATTTAGAAATTTAGGGATTTAAAAATTTGTGCAATTTGAATTTGTGCATTCTGAAATTTGGATATTCAGTGACCTAGAAATTTGATAAATTGGGAATGCAAGAATTTGGAAATAAGGCTCTTTTCGTTCATAGATCTAAAGATTTATAAATTCAGAAATTTGGAAATTATGATACCATTGCCAAAAGTTTAGAAATCTAATTATTCACAAATATACAGATGTAATTTAGTAATTCAGAATTTTAGAACTTTATAAATTCAGAAGTGTAGATATTTAGAAATTCAGAAGTGTACAGTTTTAGAAATAGAAAAGCTTCAGAAATTCACAATTTAAAAGTGAATCAAAGTACTACAAAATCGAAGACTTTCTCCAATCAAAACCCGCCTACATTTTTCAGTTTCTCTTCAAACCACAGTTTCGCACAGCATATTTAACCGTTGTTTACGGAACACTCTGTATATATACGTTACGAGCTACAAGTCGAGGACTAACGACGCGGATTAGAGCTCACATATCGAAAATTTTTGGTCCTTACGTTCCTTCTACTATATGGTTCGCTTAAATAAATTACACCTTGTACACTATAGTGACTCAACGGTTCGTCGAAGAAGACGTAATGTTGGAACAACGATTCTCGTCGTCAATTTTACCCTACAATACCCTAGAATCTTTGCACGACATCGCAAAGGAATTAACGAGTTAGTGTACTGCCACTAAACGTTGATTTCTCAAAAACCGAGATCAAATTGATTTTCCTTTCGCAAAATGGTGAAAACTACCCCCAATACGGCAAGCTGGCAACTCTCCGAAAAACTGTTTCATAAACAATTCATGCATGTTCGATGTAGTTACTTTCACGTCAGTGAAAATACAAGCAATTAACACGTTTTAATTGAACAATTAAATTCGTGTACATTGTGTTTACTTTTTGGCGAACAATAGAGGGTTGCTTTGTTTTCTTCCAAAAAGAAATATGTACAAATTTTGTTCGCTTATGAAAGCAAGGTATACATGTTCAATAAAGTAAAATATTTTTAAATTTTTTGGTAAATGTTTGAAAAGATATCAAATATTTGTTTGACAATTTTTTGGAAGTAATAAAAAAATTGAATACACAGAACTTTTTTAGGTGCAGAGTGAGAATTAAAAGTAATTCTGTGGGTGTTCATAAGTATGCTTTTTTGCTGAGATTAATTACTGGGTTTCAACAGGATTCCACTAAACAGATTTCACTTTAAATTGCTCAGCACTTAGGGTTTCATCTGAAAATTCTTTTGCTTCAAACATTTTGTGCCAGTATCGTATAAAAGAATTTTATCACACAAATTTTTGATTAAAAATTCTCAAATCTTCAAAAGTAGAAAAATACGAAACGAACTGAACAAAAACTAAAATTTTCAAGTTGTGAAACCCATTCACTCACTAATTCAGGAGCGACATTTTACTTCGAAAACAATGTTTTGCCATTTTGCCGCATTTTTCGCATCGTTTCACCGTCGCTTCGTTACGAACCTTGTCATGTGCGTTAAATTAAAATGGATATGGTTACGCGATCGATCGTGACTAGAAACAAAAGAACGAACTAAAACTGAGGGAATACAGGATAGATATCGTCTGTTGTGCAAAAACAAGTACCATTCGTTACCGTTCTCATTCTGCAAGAAATGTATGTAAATTGCACGATCTCCGAGAACGCGAAAAAATTTTTGCGAAAAAACTTTGTTCGCCTGCAAATTATCTTGTTTAATCAGGTACCCAAGCGTTAGTCCATAATTAATTTTGTTCATTTTTCCTCTGACTCGCTCGAAGAAGCTGCAACTTACAGATGTCAACCCACGAGTTGTGACCCAAAGTAAAGAAAGCTCTGTCCAAAAAGAAACAGGAGGAGAGGAAGGTCAAGAGGAAGATACAAAGCTTTTTGACGCGCAAAAAATGTACGAACCGACGTAGATCTTGATGACATTGACGTATAGATGTCAATCCAGTTGTCGCGTGACCCAAAGTGAAAGAAGCTCTGTCCATCATGAATACAATCACATTTCGGCAGATAAGAATAATGACAACTGCTGAACGCGAGTAACATCTCGCTCACTTGAGAGACGTTTGCTGTCATTGTTCTTCGCCTAATGCGACCGCTCGAGACAATACCGAAAATACGTGTGAGGCGTCCATTTTTCTATTTTGACCAATTGTAGCTCTTCTAAACACGTCACCTTCACGCGCCAACCGTGGGTTGACATAGGTATGTAGATATAGAGATTCAGGGATTATAGGGACTTGGAGATACAGGGAGAGGATATTGAAATTTGGTTTCAATATGGATTTGGAGATGTGGGATTTGGAAATAGGTTTGGAGATATAGGGATCTAGAAATGTAGAGATTTTAGAATACAGAAATTTGGGAATATAGGAATTTGTGGATGTTGAGATCCACGGATTTACGAATTTAGTCTCTAAATTTGGAAAATTAGTTCTTCTGGGTCAGCCTCTTCAGCCAACTCGTGGGTTGACGTGTCGAACAAAATGACGTCAATCAAACGATATTTCGCGACTACAATCGATACAATAACGCTTGTTTTTGTATAATTAAAAATTGAACGATCGATGTATTCAATGATTTCAATAGCGAGTACACTGTCAGCGAAACAATTAATTTAATTACATTGCACCTGCCTTCGTTTCTTTTCTGACAACTCTCATTTATACCAAGCATACCAATACTTATACTATGATTTTAATCTTGACTCCTTACAATTTTGATTGTTTTAAGTGAAAACGAAATTGTGTTGGATATATTACACAAGACGGTAACGAAATATTGTGTACGTTTCAAACCAAACAAAAATATTTTTGTATGGATAAGTGAATTTTTAACTAGTTAAGATAGCAAGCTTGTTAATCAAGCTACAAATTAGCAAATTGGCAAAATTTATCACACGCGAATCATAGGAGTCAAACGATTAATTATCGTAAAAACTACCGTTATACAATTTCCCTTCTCACGCGATCTTTCAATGATCCCGCTAAAGACACGTCATACTATCACAGTCCAACTTGAAGATTCGTTTCCATTGTTTCACGATAACCCCTAATATTTTTCAGTACATTCCTTTAACCCTTTCGCTACCATACATTTACTCTTTAGACCTACAATAATTTAATAATTCTCGTACACTAGGAATTTAGAATGTTATCGATTAATATAACATCGGAGATACGTATCGTTATTTAGTTATTCGGAAATCATGCGGTATCATTCAAACTCGATAGCGAAAGGGTTAAACAGAGGTTATACAGAGCAATTTCTTCAGCAGGCTCTCGAACTGTTATATAAAAATACACACGCGACGTAATTCTATCGTTCTACGTACAACACGGTACAGTGGCGAGCATGGTAGACTTTCTTAGGGAAAATGGCGGTGTAGTGGAAGGAGGCGTCATTCGATGATCTATCATTGGTTTCGATTGACAAACTTATCAACTGTCGAATTTTTTGATCTAGAAATTTCGAGTTTAGGGTTTAGAAATTTAGGGATTTTGGGATTTGGGGATGTGGGGATTTGGGAATGTGGGGATTTGGGGATGTGGGGATTTGGGAATGTGGGGATTTGGGGATGTGGGGATTTGGGAATGTGGGGATTTGGGGATGTGGGGATTTGGGAATGTGGGGATTTGGGGATGTGGGGATTTGGGAATGTGGGGATTTGGGGATGTGGGGATTTGGGAATGTGGGGATTTGGGGATGTGGGGATTTGGGAATGTGGGGATTTGGGGATGTGGGGATTTGGGAATGTGGGGATTTGGGGATGTGGGGATTTGGGAATGTGGGGATTTGGGGATGTGGGGATTTGGGAATGTGGGGATTTGGGGATGTGGGGATTTGGGAATGTGGGGATTTGGGGATGTGGGGATTTGGG